TTTCCCAGTTGAAACTATGGTTAAGTCTGTCCATGTGTGGTGAGATTAAGGAGTTTTCATCGTGTCTTCTGATCGCTAGTTGGTGTTCATGGATGTGCTCTGCTAGCCTCCTGCCTGTCTGTCCTACATAGTGGTTGTTACAGTCCTTACACTGTATGTTGTAGATGACTCCTGTTTGTTCTTCCTGGGCTTTTGGTTTGCTTAAAATGTTTTGGAGGACTTTAGTCGGTTTGTGTGCTATGGAGATGCCATGTGGTTGTAATAGTCTGTTGACAGTTTCTGAAACATTTCTGATGTATGGCAGTGGTATCCTTTTCATAGCTTGTGTTGGGTGTGTTGTAGTAGGTTGAGTGGTCAGGCACTTTTTGATAAAGTTGTGTGGATATCCATTTTGCTGGAAGATGTATAGGTGCAAGAAAACAGCCAAGCTCAGAGAACCCCAAGGACTCCAAACTTCTAATGTATTTCTCCATTAGATGTCATTGTACAAGGATGTGGTCTAATGTCAAATGGCCAGGTCTATATCCTGCCTGTTCGTGGCCCAAAATAGCTTCATTCACCAGCCAAGTGGACAGCTGCGTGTGCAGAAGTGTGCAGGTATTTTATTCCACATGTACTCAGTGGCTAGACTACCTATTATATTAATTCTAGATTAATGAACATCAGAAAAGAGTATCTGTGTTGCATTTATTTATGTGTGTGTGTATGTATATTTGTATATGTACATGTGCATATATGCACACATATACATACATATGCACATGCAAACAATCTCTCTCTCTCTCTCTCTGTATATGTACAGGGTGTACCAAAAGTCAGACCTCATAGATCTATCACAATATGTTTTACTTTTTTTTCCACAGAAAATGTTTCTATACTAAGGTATGTTCAAAGGTCAGGTGTCAAAAGAGTAAGGAAGTGTTTAGAAGAAAAGAGCAACCAATTCAAACATTTAATGTACAGTAATGTATATCATAAATTTTCTATTGCGCCTGACTTTTGGTACACACTGAATATCCCCAAGTGATAATCAATGAGGAAAATATTGCAATATACTTTAGTTCATCTTATACTTCTCTTCTTAATGCCTGCTCCACTAAATTAACTTGTATAATTTCTTCTGTCCTTCAGAAGAAAAGCCACCTCTGCCACCAGTAGCAGAAGCAATGAATACTTCCCTAGTCATCCCTACTTGCAAAATCATGAAGATACTTCGTGAAGTCATAACAGAGCGTGTAACAACATCAGAGTTCTACAATTTCTTAAACGGATTCCAGTTAAACAATGGATATCTAGAGAATAAAAATTTTTATATATGGAAAGGTACATAGTCACTGCTAAGAAAATTTGCATCAATTTGTTTATTAAGATGATAGCTGTCCTGATTTAAAAAATGTAAGTTTCATTATAAAGTATAGTTACTAAGATGTCTAAAAGTAGACATATCTCTCCCTTGAAAATAACAATAGTCAAATAAACTGCAATGGCTGGACTCCCAAAACCAAACAAATCACATTAACGGCTTTGCACAATATGTGAACTTAGCCACTGAAATGTAGCACCGGCAGTCAGAAATAGCAAGGAGTGTCATGAGTTCACAATCTGGTTCAGGTGCATTATTGGAACATGTTTTGGATAATTCTAATTCTGAAATATTTTAAATGAACAATAAAACAATATTGCTAAGGGTATTTGCAAGAACTGTGGAATAAGAGTTGGAATATCCCATACCAGCGGGTAAGATTTTTAAAGAGTTTTAAATATAATTCTTACAAACTTGAGATTGAGACTAATTTAGCAAAATATTCTTGTTCACGTTTACTGGATACCACAGGGAATGTTTTTAAAAGTTGGCTGCTAACTTCCTTATGTTGAAAGTATAATGTGGGAGAAATTCTCAATATCACAGTATCTCATGTGATATTGGCTTGTTGTCCATTTTTGTTTAATATCCAAATAGACATGAATATGGGGTTACAAAGATCGATATGGTTTAAATATGCTAATGTTCTTCTGAATTATATATCCCAAACCTGGAATTTATCATCATATGAAGAATTATGGCTTTATCACGCATGGAGAACAATGAAAAAGATTACTGTTCAGCATTGGAAAGCCGGTGCTACCATACACTTACAATTTTGGATTCCTGAGATGTATTCACTTTCTGTCTACGTGTGAACAATCTCTCAACATTATGGAAATACTGGTCAATATCATTCCATGTGGTCAAGGTTTAATGATCAGTTTAAAAATTAGGCTGAATGAAACGTGTGTTTTGTTGTTTTCTTTATTTTCTCTGTTTCTGATTCTCCCTCCCCCTTTTCCTTCTCTCTTCTTTTTCTTTCTGTTTTCTTTTCTCATTTATTAAAGCAAATATATTGGTAGTGAATCAATGACTTCCTTGTTTCATGCTGATTAGATGCTCCTCAGCTGCTACCTCAATGTTATTCCAGTCTGACTCTTTTCAGTGCTACCTAATAGTATCTTCAAAAGAACATGTGGTCACAGAGAGACAGGATCCTACTGCATCAGATATAAATGAATAACAATCTTGGACTGTTTCAAGCAACATTCTGCACTTCATAAGCCATGGTTTATGAATCTGGAAATGAGTAGTCAGCCTACATGTTTTTCCCTTACTCCACTTTGTCTCCCCTCACCCACTTCTTTGATTGATCTTGCTTAATTTAAACAAGAGTTACTCAGAAAGGCCCAGAAAATCAGAAGTCTGGTAGCACCTTTTCTGCCTAACAAATTGTATTAAGCCTTTTAATACAATTTGATAGTTGGAAAAGATCCCACCAGACTCCTGATTTTTTTTTCCACCATAGACTAACACAGCTCTCCTCCTACAGTATTATAAGGGCCCAAGATTCATTCCTAATTTTATAAAACTTCCTAATTAGTAAAATGAAGAATGTTTTACCTGAACTTGCCTAAAGGATTCATATTGTATTGGGATGCCAGACAGAGAAGCCAGCAAACGACCTGGCTTTCACAATGCAAGATATAGATATAGTTATGGATGTGGTGAACATGAATGCATATATATGCACACACTTCTATCTATGCCCTAAAGAAAATTAGAAGGTTAATTAAATAAAGTGGAAGCAAACTACTTTTTGAAGTTATGAACTGCTAATGAAAATGCTTGTCTTTCAGATACTGAACTAGATACTTTTCCTAACAAGCTGATGACTCCATCGGAATATCTGTGCCTTATAGATACAGCTGTCTATATAGATGCCAGCTATGCATCACTTATGAAGCCAGAGAGAAAAGTGGATGTCATTATACATTTGAATTATAGTTCAGGATCACAAACGACAGTGAGATGACTTACAATTAAGTGTTGTTTTTGTATAATCGGTTTGTGTCTTACACTTACAGAACTCTACAGAAAAGAACTGTGAGAGCTCGTGTGGATGTCCATATACATGACTTTGTTTGCTTGGGCTGGGAGTCCTAGGATTAAACGGGCCTATAGCTTAAAACAGTGTTGTCCAAACTTGGCCACTTTAAGATGAGTGGACTTCAACTCCCAGAATTCCCCAGCCAGCATGGC